TTTCAAAAATCGTATAAATGACCTTTTTATGGCGGAGAACAACTTAAATACAACCTATATTAGCTTATTGCACATATAAAGGATTAACTAAAAATATGACGTTAAAAGGAAGCATTAGAATCATTGTGAAAACCATGTTTTCACCATCACATTCGTAGGCAACGCATCACAGATCATTCTGAGCATATTTTTTTTCATTGTTATGCTATTTGGCTCTCATTCTACCTATTCTTGTACGAATCTGAAACGATACATGATGCCAAACGCACCTTAAATATCGTTACAGTCCCTCTAGCTATAGATAATTGATGTTTTAGGGGATGCCTTGAGTCAATCATTCTAAACTTTCATTGCATGGTAGTTTTCGAATGGTGAGTTTGGATATCTAAATACCATATGAATAGATTTATCTTGAAATGTAGTTTTATAAAAACATTATACACTTGTTGAATTTTATAAAAAACTTTTCAGCAAAATATCCTTATATGTTGTGCCTTGGAGATTGTGTCAATATTATATCTTAAATGTCACTTGTGTTTAACTAGAAGGCTTCTTTGAGAAAGTATAAGTATAATGGAGGGTTGTTAGTAGACTTTTTATGTTAAGGTGGAGAAGAAAGGGGGGAGAGAGAAAGGAAGTGGATTGTAAGTTTACACCTAATGCACAAGAACAAAAAAAACTTTATGAGAGAAAAGGTACTCCTTAAATTCTAAATTGTAACTCGTTTTGACTTGTCTAGGCACATGACTTTTGCTATACACCTAGATATACATTATATCTAGGTACATAGTAAAATCAATATATCTAAAAAATACAGAACAGCTTATAATTTGGAACAGAGAGAGTAGGTTCATAAGTGAGCCAACTTATTATATGTGGCTATATTGTTAGCCTGCTCAGCATAATAGACTGAGTATTTATGATTTTTTATTAATATTTTAATAATAACTCTATTTAGTTTTTTAAGTAACCATTTGATTTGGTGGAGCCCAGAGATCTAGTACAATAAAACAACATTGATGTGTTATTGCGTATGGGCCGATAAAGCATGCCTGTCGACAAAAGATGCTCGCCAGTTCTCCGAGGGGTATCCCACGAAGGTAGATTTGTCGGTGGAGGTGAGCGAGATCAGGAGCGAGATGGTACTACAAGCACCAAGACACAAGATTTAGACGGGTTCGGCCGTCAGTATGACGTAATACCTACATCCTGTGTTCTGATGTATTGCATTGAGATGTCGAGTAGGGGACCCCTGCCTCTCCTTATATACTCTGGAGAGGTAGGGTTACAAGAAAAGTATCATATTTTGTACTATACAATAGCTTACGGTGCACGCCGAGCAGCGCCGTGCACGCCTTGATCTTGTGGGGCGAGGCACCTCTGATGGTGCGGTCCATGTCTTGTCTTATGGATACCGGGGGCCATACCCCCATAATGCCAGTGTAGCACATGATAGTTACCCTATGGCGCCAAACACCAAACCCTCTGACACATAAGGGGCATGTACAGAGAGGCTACACCACCAACCCCTTCCTCTTGCATATCCCTCTTCCCTTCCCCTTTCCTGTGTCACCGCTGATAGACGATTTTGATCGACGAAGATGTTAAAGCTAAAAAAATTGATTTTGGATAAACCTAAATAGATAGGGCTGAATCGAAGTATCATTATACTCCCTCCAACCACAGAAAAAGTGTGTTCCAGGATTGCCTTTGATTCCACCATTACCAAATTTGATTGCATTTACTTCTTTCGAACGGTGAGTTTTAATATCTGAACACCACATGCTTAGATTTGTCTCGAAACATAGTTTGATACAAAAAATATATGTTGCTTACGCTGTTTAACAACAACGTATATTATTTTGTATCAAACTTAGCAATGAAATTCTTGATCCATCGGCATACCCAATGACCATTCACACCGATGATCTCAAAAGTACCACTAGTCCAGTCTGTATTTGCATTCAGATGAGAAACATATTACGACGCTCGGCTATAGCTATGAATTTAATTTCAAACAAGTTGATGCAAATGCAGATATGCAATGAAATCATAGTCATGATCCATCGGCACACCTAACGCTCATTCGCACTGCTGACAATCTCAAAAGGGAAAATTAGCTCAGTACCATTAAAAAATCCAATCTTTAAAAACTACCATTGAAAGATTGAACTGCAGAAAAATATCATTGAAAGGTTTCTCCGTTGTAGCCTTTTACCATTCCCGTTAACTTCACGTTAGCTGGAGGGAAAAAATCGGATCCAACTCAAAAGCACGAGTTCCTGACCGGCTGGCCCAACGCACCCAGCCTGAGGAAGGTCTCGGACCTGGGCGTGACCTCTAGCGGCGCTCTTCCCCTTGCAGCAGCGCTCTTCCCCTCAGCGGCGACGCTCCTCCCCTCGACGACGACGACAGCGACGGCGACTTCTCAGGCCTATCCTCCATGGTGCGCCACTCTCCTTCCGTGCTTTCCTTGTTCTCCATTCTTCTTGTGCTCTTCTTTCATGATCTGAACCCTAGGTATTGGGGATTATGTAGTGCTGTGACAAGGGATTGGGGATTGAGCGAAGATGGACGCTACTGAAATTCTAGAAGGGTAATATCCTTGGACACACTCTACATTGTTCCAATTGGTATCTATTTTGCTGGGTTTTTTTTGTGTGCACATAGCTATGTGAACGTACTGAATGAGGACCTGAATTTTTTGTTAATTGGGCCTTACTGTTTCCCCTCTGTTCCATGTGGTTTGGACTGCATATCACAGATTGATCCAAAGAATGCTTGTAGAGTAGAGGTCACTATGAACTCATACTTCAGTATTATACATGGTAAAAAGGTCTACAATAGGGGCAGAGATGTAAGCTGGGTTGTTGATTCAGAAAAGTATTCAGTCATTAATCTAGAGAAGGATATTGCTTTGCACTTTACATGGGACAGCAACCAGCAGATGCAAATTGCGATTGGAGAATTTTTGCAAAGAAACTTCATGGTGGTGACACATTCATGGTTATTATTCTTTCTTTATAGCTTATAATCTAATATTCGGTGTAGAGTGATACAATTTTTGCAAGGTGTAGCTTATAATCTAATATTTGTTGTAGAGTGATACAATTTTTTCAAGGTGTAGCTTATAGTCATATTTATTTGCAGGTGGTCAAACTCTCAAAACTGGATGATCACACTTGTCCTAGTTCAACAACTATGAAAGGCCACCAAGCTTCTACAGCTTGGATATCTCAAAGGGCGAAACAAATTATTGAAGAAGATCCCACTCTTAGCGCAAAGAAGTTACAAAGAAGATTAAAAAAGTATTATAATATTGAGTTGTCATATTTTAAAGTGTGGTCTGGGAAGAAATCAGCAATGGATGATATTCATGGTACTTGGGAGGAGAGTTTTACAATGTTATGGAGATTCAAAGCTGCTCTAGAAGAAACTTGCCCAGGAAGCATTATTGAGATTGATTGCAAGAAGATCAAAGGAAAAATACATTTCTCAAGGATGTTTGTTTGTATTAGAGCATGTGTTGATGGTTTTTTGTCTGGGTACTGGCCATATCTTGGTGTCGATTCTACTCACTTGACTGGAAAGTATAATGGGCAATTGGCTACAACAACTGCAATTGATGGACACAACCGGATGTATCTAGTTGCGTATGGGATTTTTGATAAGGAAACAAATGCCAACTGGGCATGGTTCATGGCAAACCTGAAGAAAGCAATTGGTACTCCAACTGGGTTGACAATCCATACTGAAGCGTGTAAAGGATTAGTATATGGTGTCAATAAAGTCTTTAAAGGTGATGCAACTAAACATTGAGGACTTTGTACATGATTATTATTCTGTGGAGAGATTTAAGATGGCTTACCAATTTTAGATCGCTCTTATGAATGACAAGTCTGAATAGCCAAATGTTAGTCTTGATTTTGAAATGATTCCTCCACCACTACAAAGGGCTCGGTAGACCAAAGAAACAAAGAGTAAAGGCTATAGGAGAGCCAGGAAAAAAAGGACCATATCAATACAAAAGGTGTTTTCAGTTTGGACATATAGAGAAGGGTTGTAATGCTACTCAAGCTGAATTAGAATAAGAAATTCCACCACCTCGTCCAAAAAAGGAAAAAAACCAAGGTAATGTAATATTTTGTTTCTTTTACGTGCTCAAAATGTTGTTTTACCGACCCAAGTTTTCAAACGCAGGATAAACAACTCTGAATCTGTTGGAGCCTCGACAACTGATGCTAGGACATCCAAAGTAGCTGCTGAACCCTCTCCAACGCCCCATTCAAGTCCGGGTGTAACAACTAGAAGGATGTCACCCCTTTCTCCAACTAGCCCAGGTGTAACAACTAGAAGGATGGCTGCAATTTCACTTGGTGGAATCAATCGAAGGCTCATCATTGAGTAGATGAATTAGCTATATTAATACTTTAGTGTGTGAACTGTGGTTTTATATATATGTGTAATTTCTGGATAAACCATGCTAAAACTTCTAGAGAAACCATGCTGAAATTTCTGTTATATATGTCTACCTTGATGAGAGTGTTATATCCTTGGGGCTTGGGCTAGACGACAGCATATATGCTGCAGTCCTCAGGTCTGAAAGGCTTCTCAATGTTTGCTGTTAGAATAAAGTGTGAAGACTGCTCAAATGAATCTACAATAGGAGTTAACGTTGAGTTAACGGATGTGCTAAAAAGCTACGACGGATGAATTTTTCTATGGTATTTTTGTGCAGTTCAATCTTTTAACGGTAGTTTTCTAAAGTTTGGATCTTTTAACGGTACTGAACTAATTTTCCCATCTCAAAAATACACTAGTTCAATCAGTCTACATTTTGCGTTCAGATCAGAAACACATTATGGTACTTGCGTGTTCACTCTAGCTGTGATGAATTTAATTTGACACAAGTCGCTACAAATGCAAATGTACAAAATACACTAGTTCAATCAGTCTACATTTTGTGTTCAGATCAGGAACACATTACAGCACAGCACCCCATGGCCGGCGGCGACGACGCCCAGGACCACGCCGCCGAGACCCCGCCGCAACGCGCCCCGGACCCCTTCCTCCGCTTCCTCATCCCGGCCCCCAAGCCGCGCCGGGCCGCGCCCGCCGCGCTTCTCCAGCCGCCGCACCGCCTCATCGCGCCGCCGGCCCCGGTCCCGCCGGCGCTGCTGCTGCGCCCCGAGGAGCGCCTCTTCATCGTCCCGCCCACGCGCCCCGACTGGTTCCCGCCTCCTCCCCGCAGTTACCATTCTCCTCCTCCTCGCCGGGGCCGGGCGCGGTGGTGGTGCGCCCCGCGGCCGCCCGTCCCGCCGCCGCCGCCGCCTTCTTCTTCCCGCCGTTACCATTCTTCTTCCGCCTCTCCGGGCGCGGCGGTGCGCCCGCGGCCGCGGCCCGCCCTTCCCGCCGCCCAACGACCCCAGGGCGCGCAATGCGGGCCGCTTCGCTCAGTTCGCTGGTGTGCATGTGAACGGCGCGAGGGACAGGAGGAGCCCGTCCCGCTCCCGCACGACGGCGGAGCCCGCTTCCTCCCCGTCCCACTCCCGCACGACGGTGGTTTCCAGAGGCCCAAGGCGACGGCGGCGCCGCACAAGGAGAAGGAGAAGAAGGCGTGGGTCGCCGTGCAGAGGAAGGCCGAGGGTGGTGCCGGTGACGAGGATCGCGCGGCGCTCAGTGAAGGCTACTCCGGCGGGGACGAGGGGGGCGCTGAAGCCGAGGACGTACTCCAACCGGAGGGCGATGGCGAGCAGCAGGAGGAGGACGACGGTAACCGTCGCCTGCTTCTCAGTGACCAGCAAGACGACGACGTGAAGCGTCCTCTGCCCACGGATGGTATTCAGGACTGTTCCACCCGCGCCGGCGGCGGTGATCGGCCAAGCGAGGTACGAGAAATCAACAAACTTTCGACAATGGCAGTTGAAGTGCAATCCATTCATCGGAGCAATCACATTTTCTGAAACGCTGGCATTTGCTTCTGTTCATCTCTTCTCAGGTCACGCCTCGGCCGAATCAAGTTCAGGCCTGCAGGGTAGAACTCGCAGGCCACCGGCGGAATGCCGCCACGACATCGACGCCTTCACGCCTGGCTTGCTCGCGCTCTACGAGTCTCTGAAGCCATCGGAAGAGCACATGTCCAAGGAGAAACAGCTTGTCGACTCCCTCGCCAAGTCTGTCAGCAAGGAGTGGCCCAATGCTCAGAGGCATCTCTACGGATCATGTGCCAATTCGTTTGGAACGTCGCACAGGGACGTCGATGTCTGTCTCGAGATGGAAATCAGCACCGAAGACGCGGTTGAGGTTCTTCTGAGATTGGCACATGTGTTGAGGACCGACGGTTTCGAGAACGTGGAGGTAAATCCTTTCTAAAGTTTTGCAACTGAATTATGCATTGTTTGTCTATATTTCTAAAGTATCATCAGAGTTTTACACCTGAGTGGTTTTGTGCATTGTTTGTCTATCTCTTGCCTTCAGTTCAATGCTTACTGCATATTATCATCTTTGAAATTAAATCTCAAGACTCGCCTTCTCTGCTCCTGCTGCCTGATTGAGTGTATGTTGTTCCTCTTGGTCTCTGATAATACATACTTTGAAATTCATGTAGGCAATTACAAGTGCTAGAGTTCCGATTGTAAGGATGTCGGATCCAGGAAGTGGTTTATCTTGTGACATATGCATCAACAATCTCCTCGCTGTTGCCAACACAAAGCTTCTAAAGGATTACTCTCAGATAGACCATAGGTTGCTTCAGCTGGCCTTTCTTGTGAAGCATTGGGCCAAACAGAGAGACGTGAACGAAACATACCGTGGAACGCTCTCTAGCTATGCGTGAGTAAAAAATGATATACACTCGTATTTCCCTTTTCTTGTCGCCGCCATGCAGTTTTCTTTCTTTACAAATTTGGGTTCTAATCTTTTTTTTACATGAACCTACAGGTATGTTCTTATGTGCATCAACTTCTTGCAGCAATGCGAACCAAAGATTCTACCATGCCTGCAGGTTTTTTCTACCCAACTTTATGGAATCCATTATTTTGCATGTACTCCTATATTTTAGAATACTCCAATTAAGATCACTCAATTTTCCCTGCATTTGGTTCATGGTGCTAATGTAGGTAAAGCAACCATTTTTTTTTAATTTCAAGCCCTTTGATTTTTATTTTTTTTCCATTTGATAGTGGAGTGCTATGGTCTGGCATTTGCACAGTTTCACACTCCATATGATTGCTTCTTTTTGGATGGCTAGCTCACCCTTCCACTATGGTTGGTTGTTTTCTTTTTCATCTTTTCTCTTCCTTTTTTTTGGCAATGTAGTTCCATTGGATTTATGTTTTTTTTCAGTTGTACATGCGATTCAACTATAACTGTGGAGTTCATTTATTTAGGATTAAAATAAAATGGCTCACCAAATTTCATCCCCAAAACACATGTTATAGGCTGAATTTTATGCAACTTTTAGGTTTCAGATAATTTTATTTATATTATAGGCTCGTTTTTATAAATCTTAGCTTGTGATTTGTTGTGGAATGCCAGCAAGCAGGAGAAGAGCTGGACGACTCGCTTTGGGAACGACCGCCATCAGATGTGCATCGAGGATCCGTTCGAGGTCGGCCATGATCTGGGCCGTGTGGTCGACCGGCAAACGATCAGGATCCTCAGGGAGGAGATGGAGCAAGCCGCCGCCGTGCTGCAGTACGACGACGACCCCTGCGTCACTCTGTTCGAGCCCTACGGTGATAAAAACTGATTGATTGATTGATCGGCATGGGAACTGAGAACCCCCGGTTGCTGCTGCTTAGACAGTTCTAGCAGTGCAGAAAAAATGTCGATGTTTTATGCCTCGTTTAAATCCAGATGTAAAGTTTTGAGGTCATATCGAGTGTCACATGTGGTGTTTGATACTAATAAAAAAATAAATTACAGAATTTGTCAATAATCCGCGAGACGAATTTATTAAGTCTAATTAATCCGTTATTAGCACATAAATTACAGAATATGTCAATAATCCGCGAGACGAATTTATTAAGTCTAATTAATCCGTTATTAGCACATGTGTGTACTGTAGCATCATATTGTCAAATCATACGCTGATTAGACTTAAAAGATTCGTCTCGCAAATTAGTCACAAACTGTGCAATTAATTATTTTTTAGTCTATATTTAATACTCCATGCATATGTCCAAATATTCGATGGGATAGGAAGTAAACTTTAGAGGGGAGAAACTAAACAAGGCCTTAGATGACAGTCGTCTGAACTGCGCATAAATAAGACTTCAGATGATAGTGATGAATTGTGAAGAGAACTGAAATGATATCTCGTCGCAGTTAGGAAAGTAGAAATTGTATCAAGTGCATTTAGTTGCCACAAGAATTGTGCAGGCAGCAACAGTTCACTGTCGCCATCACTTCTGCAGTTGCACGTTGTATGCTTTGAACACTTTGGAAAAAAAGAAGCAATAGCAAAACCTCGAAGCTGGCTTGTACAGTTGTACTGTACCGAGTTATAATTGGAAAGGATCTACTACATTTTTGCGATCCCACTTTCCATGTTTTCTAGACAACTTCAATAATAGCATTAACCTTCTCGTAATTCTTGACAGTTAACAAGAAAGAAATTGAGCACTCTGCAAGCGCTCACTTAACTCCATTCTACGGGTGCGAAGTGTTGGAAAGCGTGTCCACTACTACCATTCTCGCTTCCAGGAATCTGTGAGGTATAATTCCTAGGACAAGGGGAAGTTAACACCCTGAGGCTACGACCTATGTAGCCAAATGATCTTGTATAGCCTTGATCCCCTGGCTAGTATCCGCTCCTGCACATCCCCCTAACAGAGGCATAGAGCTTAGGCCGGCTGACCAACTTTCTGTACGAAAGAGTGCACAAATGACCTTTCCACGGTTTTGTGACTCCTTTTGCATCTTCATATTTCCAGGTTTTTGTGGCTCATTTTTTACATCTTCATCATCCCACCTCTTCTGATGGTACATCTTCACGTCGCTTTTGCCTCGATGTACTCAGCCTGGTTAAAGTTTTGTTGAACAGCATGCCCGTTGGAGAAATAAGTCGTAGCGAAGCACTTCCGAACCGACTCTGGAATGACAACATTGTTCAGGTTAGGACTAGTTATTATGACAGTACGTGCTAAATGTAAGGTATTCGTATTCAACATTTAGAAATGGCCATACCCACTGAAACAAGACAAGAATCCACCAGCATCCTGGCAAGCTACCTTTATTGCGGAGAAGCTTTCAAGATGAAACAAGAAAAGAAAATTCATCATTGTCAGAAAGCCTTTCAGATTTCAAACTAAGGACTTCGGAATCTCCCTAGTTTACTTGCTGGGTAGCCAATCTCAGCCTTTGACAAGTGGCATCATTCAAAAAGTGAGGGTAGACAGTAAACTGCATTCTTATCATTGACAGTTTAGATCTCAAATTCATTAAAGGCTGAGGGTAGACAGTAAACTGCATTCTTATCATTGACAGTTTAGATCTCAAATTCATTAAAGGCCTGGTCCTCTCTTTAATTGTAGAACAAATTCATGTGGTCTCCCAGCAATGAGTTGAATGAAGAACAGAAGAGAAGAAATAGGCATACCATCAAGAGAAGGGTTCCAATGGAAAAGCAGACACCCATCGATTGACTCAAATATCTCAAATCCCTTCCAGCCTAAAATAGGACGAAAAAAATAAATAGATGTCAGTACATTGTCCATCAAATGGTAGGCAAGCATATGCTTGCCTTACAGATATACTACCATGTCATAAATGTTGAAGATTGTTCCCCTTACTATACTGCAACTGCTATGTGTTTTTGTCTGGAAATAGTACAGGGAGCTCTATTGGTCTGTTGCTTATTGCAAAAGCAATCCAAGCATGCAGGTTAATGTGGCATGGTGTATTTGGTCTGTGCCCAGAACAACCACTGAAAAATTTAGGTAGCCCCAGGAGTTTGGATGATTGCCAAAATATAGCAAAAATCCATGGCTTATGGTTCATATCCCATGCATTTTCCTGCAAACGCTTGGCCAAATGCATGTCAAACCAAAAGCTCGAATAAAATTATTGCTAAAGTTTGGCAGGGCTAATTTGGGTACAAATCAAACAAGTTTAGTCAACCAGTGTAATTTACATGAGAATCGGTGTGTCAGATAAATGAAATAAAAAAGATTATCAGCTTACCAATAGCGTTCCCTCGAGGCAGTGTATTGAAGGAGTCACTAGCAATACACTGAAATACGGAGCCAGTACTCGGTGCATCTGTTGACAATATAATCCAATGATAGAAACTAGTGCCTAGTGGTGAAGCAAGAATAATATATAAAAAAAATCTAAAGCAATGTATCAGACCTGCTGGACGACCATTTGGTCATTGGTAAAGACACTGGGGAAAAGCCACGGAACAAGTGTCCCTACTGCCCCCAAAGTCAACCCAGTTATCGCTCCAATGATCACAAGTGACTTCAATAGCATCCTTGCCTATATTAAAAAGTTTGCTTTAGGATCTTTCAAAGTAATGAACAAAATGTTCATATGGTTTTACTACAGGGAAAAGGAAGACCTGTGAAAATACACTTCCATACAAAGCATAGTACGTTTGCTGATAAACTAACTGCTTAGGAGAGGCTAACTGTATCATTGATTCACTGGGTGTAATGAGTTCCATTTAGCTGAACCATATGAAATAAGATTCATAGTTGCACATGGACACACGATCATGAAATGACACATTGCTATCAATGCCAGTAAGGGTGAAAATTTTGTTATCTGCATAAATTCGAACACAGTAATCAATAGGTACCTTGGTCAAATTCTGATTAGCACCATATATCAGCTCAGGCATGAATGACTGTGCAGTTTGAGACAGAGGCTCGCCCCAAACAGTACACATGCACAAGACATTGATCATAACCTTCAAAAGAATTAAGTAAATGGCACATTTGTCAAAATCCCTTTTTATAAATATTCCCTCGCGAGCAATCATTTCATGAGTTACAAAGTACAAACCTGATGGGCTGCAAGAGTTATTGCTCCCATAGAAGTCGCAGAATATGTTAGCAATGCATAAAACGCCACCTACAGAAAATTTTGAAATAATTCATTACAGTGACACAAGGAAAGGATGCAAGATTGCCGGACCAGAAAATGTTACCTTGGACGTCATTGTCACAAAAACAGGAGCTGCAATTTCAAATATCTGTAATAGCTCTCTTACTGATGGAATCGTAAATGAGAAAGCTCGAAAACCCTTATTGCTTAGATTTTGCATCATCATGAAAGCTGCAACAACCTGATAGTGTGTCAAAAAAATAGCCACTCTAGAAAACAATTGAATAGTCAATCATGAAGAAAGAGGAAAAAACTTGCTGATAAGCAATGTAGTTTCCGATATCAATATGAACCACATAGGCTTCTGAAATGGAGTGAAAAAGAAAAAACTTTTACTAATGTGTGTTCCACTTATGAGCAAGTCGGATGATGTGCTTATTAAGCTAAATAGTGGGTGATCAACAGCTCTGTGGAATCATTCTCACTTGCTCACTGCTTATTAAGCTACACAACGGATGATCAACAACTTTGTCATGCTCAAGTTGTTACATTCTTGTTGGGATGTGGCCCGCCTGGGCCAAGCCTATGGCATAGCAAGAAGAAAAAATCATCTTTCTAATTCTTGCTTGCCCCTCATTGATTATCTCATTTCCCTTAAATTGAGAGGAGCATCCTTCCATAGATACAAACCATTCTTTTCAAGTTCTTGTGTGCCCCTCATTGATTATATCCTTTCCCTTAAATTGAGATGAGTATCCTTCCATAGGTACAAACCATTCTTTTTTCAACTAAACTAATCAAAAACTTCATTATCTCTCAATTTCTAGCATAATGTGCAAGATGGCATAACAAGTCCTTCTACCTTAAAAAACATTCTCAAACATGCCTTCCTTAAAAATAGAGAGGAGTGCCATATAACAAGTTAAAAGTGACATCAAGGAGAAGTCACATGGTGATTAGGAAAGTGTCAAGTGTGTCTGTACCTGTGAAACCATAGTTGCCCAGGCAGCACCAGCAATTCCATAGCCACAAACAGAGCAAAGAAATATATCTCCAACACCATTTATAACACTAGCAGCTGCCAACGCCTTCAAAGGACCCCAAGAATCCTTCATGCCCAGACTGAGTTATAACAAACACACTATATAATAAGAGAAGCATCGAATCAAGAATAGTTGTAGTATAAAAGACTAATGGTGTGTTTGGTTTGAGGAATCATTGCATCCCAGATGAGGTGGTCCATCACGAATCCGTTCCTTAAATTAGGTGGAACGACTCCATTCCTCATACTAAAAGGGCGTACCCAGTGCAGAGAGCTCCCGCTCTGTGCGGGGTCTGGGGAAGGGTGTTAGTGGCAAGCCTTACCCTCGCCTGTGCAATGCGAGGAGACCGCGACTCGAACCCGGGACCTTCCGGTCACAGGCGGTAAGACTCTACCGCTTGCACCAGGCCCGCCCTTCCCATTCCTCATACTAGTACTAATTATTAGCCTGTGAGGAATGAGGTGATGATGCATCACCATATTCCATTCCAAAAACCAAACAAAAAAAGTGAGGAATCATTCCTAAAACCAAACACAACCTATGTGTTTATTACTATCTGAACCATTGTATTCATGTAAGCGTGTAGCAGTGTAGCCCATGTCTGTCTATTCGTGACATTACGAAGAATAGGTGATTACAAGTGATGACTATTCTTGAAAGTACAAGTGTCAAACTCAAAGAGATGCCAACCAGTGTTAAACTAGTTCTCACCTCACTGGAGCTCTTGAGACTTATATCGAGGTTTTCAATGCTCTACAACAAATCCGCAATAATAACATTAAAAAGCAAGTAGGGATCTCGACTGGAGATATAACTTTTAGGTCTCATTCAAAATTCCGCATCATGACTTGGATTAACTTTTAGCATATTTTCTTTTGTAGTAAATTTACTTTTCAAATCCGAAATAACACAAGCTGTAGTTTGACAAAGGAAGAAACATGGGACAAATCTAGCAGGTAAAAAATAGAAGAACTACTAAATTATATCCAATAAATAAGAGAAAGAGAATGGGCACAACAAGTACCTAGCACTTTGAGCAACTAAGCCAACAAGAACTGCAGGCCATGCAAAGCCTCTTATCTGAAAGCAAAATATACATATTGATATATGTTACTGTACACAAAAAGGAAAGGTTAACTCTAGACCCTATAATATCATGTCGACTTCATATGCAGGATTTTTTGTGTAGCATGCCTTCCTTTTTTGTCTGCTTCCCACTCTCATGCACAAGCCTCTGAGGTTTTATTCGACATACAACATAAAACTGAACTTTGAACCATATCCACTTGTACTATTGATCCCTTTTACTGCTAATGCTCAATAAAAGAAAACTCAAAACCACAAGATGCTAGCTTTACCCAGGAATATTTCCTTTCCTATCAATTAAATTGGGGCGATACCGCGATAATATTGCAGAGAGAAATGTTGAACTATAGTTACCTGTGCATATGTATTGGCCGAAGAAATAAGTTCATAATTCCCAGATCCAGTAAAAGCTGCAGAGGGGAAAAAAAGGAAAGAAGTTATAATATTTATATAGTTAATAAAGCAATGTATCATGAGGAGCAAGAAACTATATGCCAAAGAATAAACTGACAGGACAAATTCAAATGTGTCTTGTACTTTCTAGATTCTAACAAAATGTCCTAATCTGACAATCGATTTAAAATAAGATCAGTAGTAAAGATAAAAGAAGCACATAATCCCTATTCGCATGCTTAGTTGGTTGAGTCTAGGACAAGGCAGCAAAGCAAAAAATGAGATAACACAGTGTGAAAAATAAGCCATCAGTTTTTTTTTTCATTAGAAAATACAGAAACAATCAGCACTTCCAAGGAAGTATGAAAAACAAGATGATAGTTGCAGGTTCACAGAATACTTTTCTGTAGTCTTACCAGTCAATACTTGAGTACCAAACACCTTGGTGAACAAAAACATTCCTATGCCACAAGCAAGAGCAAGAAACAGTAACATAGACACTTGATGCTGTGCAAGTTCTTCATCCTGTGTAAGGTAACTGCAAGCAGATTAGATAACCGATACAGCAAGAATGCAAAATCCAAGAAGGCGATTGGCATTCGACACACTGTTAAAGACTACTCACAAGCACTGAGCACACAAAGTAGGAGCATAACAATGTTACCCAACAAAATTCTTGCCATGAAACAAGCATTCACTGCCAGGTAGTATCCTATGTATGCCGTGGTGTGAAGTTCAATATTCTTCATAGTAAACCAAATGTACAGTCAGATGCTCATGTGGAGAGGGGCAAACTTATATCAAAATAGGTAGCCATGTAACTCTACTTTGGCAAGAACTTTAAGTGGGTAAAAAACGACAAACAGAAGTATCGGTCGTAGCTAAGGTGATATCCTCTTCGGCTGACAGAGTGGACCACAAACTGTTCTTCAAACAAGCTAAGTTGCTAACACAGAAGAGCAGTACATATCACTATATCAGATAGAATTAGATAGGGGATGCACCTTTTTGGCTAAGGAGGTGGCCACCATGTTCGATGTTGCGACAGAAAGGAACATGAATATATAGCTTAGGTAGTCGCAGAACACTGTCCCGGGCCCTGAAAAGGAAGGAGAGCAAAACCAAACTAAAATAAGAAGAATACATTGAGCACTTGAGCTGCCCGTCCTGTGAGACAGAGCTATTTTGCGAATTTACAGATGGAGCTATTTTGCAAAGCTATGGGCATCATATATGAATTAAGATATGTATGAGGCGCGTAATCACTGCGTCTCGGCGATTAGCTCGCTACGAGAAAAAAAAACACAGAAAGTAATGTGCAGAATTCAGCTAGAGAAACGTTTGTGTTCGGGGTTGGATGACGAAGAGCCGCTGGGCTGTCTGTCACAACTCACAGTTTTGCAGGGCGATGCTTGTAAGGAGAAGATGGACGACAGAACATAGGAAGGGAGGAGGGCGAACCTAGCGCGGCGAGCTGGAGCGCGGAGGTCTGGCCGATGACCATGGTGTCGATGAGGCTCATGAGCGGGCCGCAGATCCAGAGCCCCAGCGCGGGGCCGGCGAACACGACGATGTCCCGCACCTGCTCCCATATCCCCGCCCCCGCCGCCGCGTCGTCGCCGCCGCCGTCGCCGTCCTCGCCGGCTCGCGCGACCGCCGAGGCCTCGCCGGTGCAGCGGACGGCGCGGGCGAAGCGCGCCTGGCTGCCCCCGAGCCGCGGCGGCCGCAGCAGCAGCAGCCGGAGGCGGGCCGCGGGGGGAGGACGAGGAGGAGGAGGGCCAGGGAGGCGGAGGCGGTGGAGGGAGGTGAGCGCGGGCGCGGAGACGGGGGAGGGCGGGCAGTGGGCGGCCGAGAGTAGGCGGAGGTGCGCGGACATGGCTGCGTGCGCGCGCCGCCGGCCGCCTCACAAACTGGAAACTGCTGGCAGAGGACGCGTCGTACCTATAGCATTGTACTGTACGCATACGCAAAGGACATGTAGTGTACGGGTATCCCTTGCTGGTTCTCATCCGGTCATCCTCGTCTCCTAGGTCCTAGCTCTCTTTTTCCTTGCTCCCTCTCTCCTCTCGGCCAAAGCCATGGCGAGTGACTTGACTAGGGGGAGATTTACGCTGTGTTTGGCGTAGCTTCCACGGGCTCCGGCTCCACTACTGTTGCAGTACTGTAGCACGGAGCCGTTTTGATTAGCACCGAGCCGTTTTGTAGCAGTACTGTAGCACGGAGCCGTTTTGTAGCAGTACTGTAGCACGGAGCCGTTTTATATTAGCACGGAGCCGTTTTGAATTTTGAGACAGAAAATGAACTTGAAAAAATGAACAGTGACGGAGCCCGAGCCGGGAGAAGCCCCTCCAAACGGGTTCTTACATTTTTACCGTTATAAAAAACGCCACTCATCCGAATAAATGTCACCTACAAATTTACTAGACGAGAGAGAAGAAATCTTCCAAGTTTACCAAAAACGGGCACGATGCCAGCGTGGAGACGTCTTGCGAAAAGACAAAGCTGCTCCTGCCCTCGACACCGGATTTCTCTCACCGACAGTTAGGTCCCACGGCTCCTCTCACTGCCAGATGGGCCCGACTCGTCATCTTCGTCTTCCACCTCCAACACACCACGGTCAAGGCTGGGCCGATTCAGTCGGCGGCTAGCGGCGGTGGAGGGGCAAGCTTAGGCCCGCGCGCACCAGAGGTGGGGCTCGGCTCGGCCGGTGGCTGTCCGTGGCGGCCCGCCCACGAGAGCAGGCGGCTCGGTGGTGGCTGTGTTGGCGGTGGTGCCTGACCTCGACGTGGACAGCTCCGGCCATGGCGCGGGCGAGCTCCGGCTCCATCGGCTCGGCCCCAGCGGCGCCCTCAGGCCGTAGTGAAACAAAGACGCACTCCAAACTCTGCACTCGCGGGATGGAGCTTGGCCTCGCGCTCCGGCTCGTCGCGCCGCCGTGTCTCTCCCGTAGAGCTGTTGCCCTTCCACCGGATTTCATTTCCCCGTGTGTGCTTCGAGGAAGACGCGTCCGCACCACGAGACTGAAGAAGCATGGAGTTGGGGCTGTGTGCAATGCGGTTATGACATATTCAGGAGTGGAACAGGAGATGGTGGAAGAACAAGTGGAGGAGGAGGAGGTTGGACCGGCGGTGAGCACGAGGCCGCGCCTGGAGCTCATCGAGAAGCCGGACCGGAGCCTGGCGCTGCTGGATGAGTACGAGTCGGAGGAATTGGGCACCTCTCTTTGCGCCAATCACCGCAGCGGTTAGGTTTGCTTCTCACTTCTGTGCTTGCTTTCTGCGTTTGAAATTAGTCGGGTTTAGTGTATTGATTAAGCTTAGGAATTGAGGTCGTGCGCTTAGTTCTAAACTTTATTAACAAAATTTCGTCCTAGTTCGTAAATAAAGTAAAACTACGGAGCTTGCAAAGTTGCAATGCGCAGAGCATTTTTTGTCAAAATTCCAGGAAGGAAATTCATCCTCATTGAATGATTGGCGTACTGATACGGTGTCTCCTCAGGGTATGTTGCTGTACTGGGGAAGCCAAATGTTGGCAAGAGCACCCTTATAAACCAAAGGAATGGTTGGCCAGAAACTTTCGATCGTAACAGATAAACTGCAAACGACAAGACATTGCATTCTTGGTATATGTTCTGAACCAGAGTACCAGGTATCAGAATTTAGTTCAGTTCAATGCAAACGAAGGTCCTCGCAAGTTTCTGGTCCCATTTATCATCAAGGGGATCATGCTGCTTAATCTGAGTTATCATTTAGTTTGCAGATTATACTTTATGACACTCCTGGTGTTATTAAAAAGGAGATGCATAAGCTGGACAGTATGATGATGAAGAATGTTAGGAGCGCTATTGGCAGTGCTGACTGTGTGCTTGTTGTTGCTGATGCTTGCAAAGCACCTGAAAAGGTAAGGTATTGCCAGCAGTATGAAAGAAAGTATAAATCCATCCTGACATTCAACCATTTTACCTTACATCTTGCAAGCTTTGAGCTTTTAGATTGATGAAATGCTTGAAGAAGGTGTGGGAAACAAAGATGTTGGACCTCCTGTACTGCTGGTATTGAACAAGAAAGATCTCATAAAACCAGGAGAAATTGCAGAGAAACTTGAGGTACAAACCTGATACAATTGTTGAAAGATGTTTCCCTGTTTCATTGGTTTTGATTTCTGGACGATCCTTTTGACACTGGTACCAAAAATTTACTAATGTTGATGACGTTATACCAATAAGTGCCAAATTTGGTAATGGGGTGGATGATATCAAGGAGTGGATATTGTCAAAGCTCCCTCTGGGTCCTGCTTACTACTCCAAGGTATCAGCAAAGATCATTCATATTTTTCTAATGGCATCTCCCCTGTGCTTTGTTTACCTTTAAATGTCATTGTCTGTCCTCGTATATTATAAACAGAGATAGTCAGGCTCAGACGCTCAGAACATTTTAGTAAATATTTTTGTCTGTGTGGTAAAGAGTGTGCTCCTGAATATCATTATAGTTGAACTTGATGTGCCCATTCCAATGTTGAATCCGACAAATCTTGTGTAAATCTTAGTTTGATGGATGGAGGCATTGGCAAATCATCTTTTTGCAGATAGCATAGTAGTTTGCCTTTTTCCAGTATTGGTGAACTGAACAGCGTGAACTTGAAACCGCTAATGTATGAACTAGCACGAAATGATTACTATTTTCCTGCTAGGCTGCTACAAATCAGTTGCGAAGAAATATTTTCTCGAAAGCCAGAGATTAGGAACTTTCCCGACATATTTTTACTTCGTCTAGATTATGCTAAATAATATGTTTACACCCTTTTAGTACGTTGTTATCACCAGCTTTGTTGCTCTGTGATTTCTCTCTTAAACGAGCATATGCTCCGTAATATGATTCCTCAGTTGGACCCCCCTTTTTTTTTGTTAGATGCTGTACCACATGAGATGATTTGAGATTAACAGAGCACGTGGTTCACCATGTTTCAGGATATTAGCTAGTGAACACCCAGAGAGATTTTTTGTTGGTGAAATAGTGAGGGAAAATATTTTTGTTCAATACAGGCAGGAAATTCCTTATTCATGTAACACCCTAGGTGTTTGGCTTCCACTAATTGCATTTCATTTCATAAACATGTGCATCATCTATCTCAGCATGTCATTGTTACTGAAACATGCATATGCAACATTTTCAATTGTATGTGTTTCATGCTTGATTTCTTAGAATGGTAGTAGTGCAACATGTGAATGTAACATGAAATTCTCATACTTTGAAACATGGCAATATGGTAGTAATGTGGCAATTATAAAATGACAACAAAGTCATGAAACATGTGAAACATTGCATTGCAACATTTGGGTGAATTGCTTGTTTTGTTGTTTCATCACATGTGATCATTTGACATGGGTATAGCACTTGTGTAAAGTGGTTGATTATGGTCTAATACACCTTAACTACACTCAGGGTAATTGTTTGGACACTGTTCATGTGGACCAAAATGACCAAATTGCCCTTTTGGAGAGGTTTGACTTGAATTGACCCTTAGAGTGCCACTGTTTGACTGATTCAAAAGACCAACTTAGAGACCTTGCATGGCTGTGCACTCTTTACCAAAGTTGTAGCTAAATTATCAAGGAACAAAAGTTGTTTTATGATCATCTCATGAAAATGGCTAGAACATGCTCAAACATGGCCCACAAGTCAGAATTCCATGCTGCTTTCACACTTGGAAGAATTGCTAAGTCATAATCCATTTTTCATGTACACAGTTTTTGCAATGGGTCAATCGTTTAGCCGTGTCGACACGTTGAAGTCGCGCTGTCAGTCATAGTCATCGAACTCTGAATCGAAATTTCAGAAAATCGTCGATGTCGCTGGTGGCCCGACCGCTCGAGAGATGAACACCGTGCGCGTGCCGCATGCTCTCGCCGAAAAGCCTCCACGTCGCGTGTCCGAGCTCTAGAAGAAGGCCAGCACCTGCCCGACGCACTCGCCTGCTCCATTTGCTTCTCTCTCGCCTCCACTGCACAGCGGCGCAAAATCCACTGTTGTCGCCATTCCCGATCAGCGATGTCGCCGTCGTCGTCTTGGCGCTCATCATCAACAAACGCGTTGCCCGATTCGCCCGAGCATCGCCGTGATCTCCTCTACCTCCTCCACCCCACCGTCGGTCCATTTGAGCTTTGGTAAGGGCGAATCGCCGTTTTCTTCCACCGCCATGGTGACCTCGCCGGAGATGGCGCTCATGCGCGACCACTATCCTCGCGTCCTTCCCATCCTTCTCTCCCCTTGCGCTTAGGTCTTTGTGGGCGCTCATCGATGCTCGTAGGGTCAACCGATAGGGCCATGACGCATAGACCTCGCGGAGCCATGCCATGCTGCACGGCCGTCGCCGCCATTGCTTGTCGCCAACCCACAGCAGCATGATACTAGCTTCAATTGAGGGCACCAATAGATGCGCCTTGTTGTATTGAACGTCAGAGCACCGCGCCGGGCCTCATGGGAGGAGTCACCGGCGATGAGCTTCGCCGCCTCCTCCTCTCTCCCCTGCCTTTCTTCATCACACGGGCCCCGGTGCCGTCGCAATGAGGGCCGAGGCGGAACTGGCCGGGCAGCGCCCGTCTGGTCCAGCCCAACACAGCGTGGGCGTCGGGCCGGATCTGTTCGGGCGGCCCATGATGAAAGTAGGGTTTCAAATTTGTTTTTGTTTTATTCTTTTCACAGATTTGTGTAGAGATTCAAAAATATGTATCTCCTAGTTGGTAGCTTCAAATGATGTGGTTCCAATTTTGTTGAGTTCATGATAATGTCTAGTTTATATTAAAAATATAATGCATGTCATGTTCTGTTATGAAAATGGGAGTTTCTATTTATCTCTTTTAATCATGCAAGAAATAGGGGTAATTATATCTTTTACTAGGTAGCTCCAAATGGCATGAAATTTTTATTGTGTACTGCTCATATCATGAATAGCTTGTAGTTAAATTTTCATAAATTTTGGGCACTGTTTGTAGGAGATAGAAAATTATCTTGTTTGCATGGATGGATCTTGTGTGAATTTTCATAATTTTTCTATAGATCCAGTTAGGGTAAAAATAGGTGAGTACTGTTCTTATGCTAGGTTGATGCTAGAAAAAATTAGAAATCTGTTGTTTGACACTTTTCAATAGGGTTTCCAAATTATGCTAAAAATAGACATGCTACCTGTTATTTTGGATCCAACAAGTTCTGCTTGCCCAATGGCTTTGAAATTTTTATGGTAGTCTATGTGAAGCATGAGATAGCTACTGTAATTTTTGTAGATTTTTCTGAACAGTTTTACTATATATTGCTTTAATCACCTAATTAACTAAAGAAATTAGAAAAGGGCATTAAATAAATTGTTTAGAAGTTGGCACTAGACTTTCTGATGTTTCTTTGGTATGAAAAACATGTTGGTAAACTTGGTTTGGTCCAATTATGCTTTTGCATCATCATTAAATAATTAATTTAGTAACCCTGGCATTTCTGGACAGATTCTAGGTTTACTGGAATTCGATTTGGTTAACGTAAGAATCATGCTTTGATGTTTACAAATGATTTGTAGAGAATTTCATAAGCTTTCCAGAATGTCCTCATGCAAGTCATTTGGATTTGTAGAACTCTTGTTGTGGTTGAATTAAGGAACTATCCGTGTGCATATTAAACTTTAACTGTTGTTTAAAGTATGTCTTTACTATTTCTAAGTTGGGGTAATGTTCCTAGGTGTTAGGCCTTTAACTGAGGATGAGCATCTTTATCTTAGGCTATGGAAATTAGGTAAGTTGATCTTGTTCTTCAAGTTAAGTTAGATACCTGTTTTAAAATGATTTGAATAGAGCTATTCTTAATCGGTAAACGATTGTCCAGTAATGTTTTCGTTAAACACTTACTGTGATTTATTCATCATGAGCATCATGTCATTTCTTATGCATCCATGATATTTATCTTGTGTATCGGCATGCAATAGGTGTACCGGAAGGAGTGACCCTGCTGGAATTCGAGGAACCGAGCGAGCAGCAGCAGCCGACACCGGAAGTTCAGGAGGTGTAGCCTTCGGAAGAAGTGCCAGACGAGGTCGCCGTTGAGTGCCCGGATCACCGTCCGTGTAACTTTGTGAAAGGCAAGCCCCGGAGCATATTAAGCCTCCTAATTTTCGAAATGCAGTTACAATATTATTGTTACATATATATATTGTTGCATTAAGTTTAGGTGTTGGATGCAAACACTTGCTACATTGGTTATCAATCCTTGTCCGGATATTGATACCACTGAATCCTATGTAGCTCGAGGCTCGTGTAGTGCTTAGCCCCGCTTAAACACGGTAGAAGTCGGTGATTTCTGTCACTGCGAGATATAGGAAGATACATATGGCACGGTTGGCTATATTTGCTATCGTGGAAAAGAACCGATCTTAATTTGAAATGAAGACCGGACGGAGGCTTGCCGGTTTGCGATGACTCCGTCGTAGTCGATTAAGGACGGAATCTTGGAGCCTTTCCTGTTCATGTTGAGCGCATGCCTCTCTCTTAGTTGGCGTGTCCGATGACCGACCATGGCCCGAGTAGCTCACCTCGGTAGGGAGTCGATAAGTATAAAGTGCGCCTCGGAAGGAGCCGTGGCGTGAGTCCAAAGGCGGTGATTTAAAAGTCCTGATCGTCTGGCGGAAGGATAATCCACGAGAGTCTTGGCGCCGATCGAACCCATGAATTTGGTTCTGAGTTGTTCCAAAGGTGACCCACGGCTACCCTTGCTAAGTATGCGGGGTAAGAGTTAGGAATACCCCCTCACCGAGTTGTAATTCGATTCTCGAGTCAGTCGCCGTCTCTCTCCGGTTAGTGAGAACTTGACGGGCTTATCTCCAATGTAGACGCACTAAATAACATAATGGTTCGAGAAAGGATGATAAGATGATGACACCTTATTATACACGCTATGGTTAATATTGTTTGCTCCTAATAAGTGAGTGCTCTAGTACAAAAGCTAACCTAGTGGACAGAGTAAATGATGATAAGCTTGATGCTAAGTTTAAATTGGTCACTATATTCATAAGCTCTTTTATGCAATCTGTCAAAGCTAGCCCACCTCATAAGCCTTGCATGATCTTTGGTGTCTTTTATTTCTAGTTTTGTCGGGTAAGTCTAGTGAGTACCTTCTCGTACTCGGGGTTTATCTCTCCACTGCGCGATGACCGGTTCTACTTTGGTTCTTTGCAAGTATTGCCTTTCTCCCGTGGGGATGAAGACTAGACCGTTGGTAGCGGTCTCTACTAGTTCTCGTACCTAATGATGCTTTTGTGGGACATGACTTAGATCCGGCAATGTATTTGGAACTATGAAGTTATGTACTAAACTATGTTGCTTCCGCACGTTTGAATTTGGTTTGTAATATTTTATATTTGAACTCTGATGGATGTAATCTGAATGCTACTTATGAAATGTTGTAACGAATGATGTGTTGTGTTGAATCACTACGGTCTTGGTTGTATGTCGAGAGTTGGTTGAAATCCTTCGTGATTTCTGGACTACCGGGATTATGGGAGCTTAAGTACAGGAATTTGATCGCTTCGGTGATTGTTTTTGTACTTACGTTATTATGATTTGGTCGGTTCTGTTACAATTCATGCCAGGTATATCTTCTGGTGTTTTCCCTAACAGCTTGATGCAGCATATTCTCCATCTTGATATTCTTTATTTCTAATATGTCAATTTTTTTTGTGACAGGTTAATGTTGTCAGTTACAAAAGTAGGCCTAGTGCCAAGGACTTCATTCAAGTTGAGATACTTGTTGAGAAAGAATCACAAAGAAGCATTATACTAGGAAAGGTAAAAAAAAAGTTAAGAATACCATAATTATACATGATGTGGGCTGGAAATTTAAAAATACATACATGAGATAGAAATTAGAATTTTTTTCAATCTAAGATTAAATCTATTATAAAAAAGGAAATAGGCCATGAATTCCCCCCGGTCCCCGGTCTGTGTTGTCTAATAGCAAAATATTCCCTTAACATGTCTGATCGATGCAGGATGGCAAAGCCATAAAGATGTTGGTAACCGCATCAAGGCTTGACATTGAGGATTTCCTACAAAAGAAAGTCTACCTTGAGGTTACATCTTCTTTACTTGTTATGTGATTGCTGTGGACTTTGCCATCTCCTGCTGCACTGCGACTATCGTGGAGAAGTTTCTGTCTAACAGTAATGCGTGACACTCCTTCCTTGTACAGATAGAGGTCAAAGTGAAGGAGAACTGGCGGCAACACGAGCGACTTCTGAAGCGGTATGGCTACGGCGGCGAGATTCAAGCACTGTGACTATGACAGATGCGCTATCACTACGGCCAAGGAGGAGAGGGGGCAGCAGGACCACTACGGCCAGGACGCCAGTGTCAGAGACATCGGCCCTTACAAGAGCCTCGTCAGGTTCACCTCCAACTCCTTTGACCTCACAGCCTCACAGGCTTCTCAGCCTCGACCCTGCTAACCAAGCTGAGCACTGCAGCATGTGGACTTGCGGCCTCTGAATCACGACCAGAAGCTGGCACTGTGGCTCAGCTCAACGTCTACAACCCTGCATCATGCATGTGCTTCTGTGTCTGTCTCCTTCAATTCATCTGCACTACAAATACTTGTTCAGTTTCAGTCAGAGATTCCTTTTGTGTCCATTTCGACTAATGCAGTAGTTGAATGCCATAACTGTATTTCACATGAAGGGGATTCTGCAGCATGGTTTGCCCTTAAACTCGAATAAACAGATTGTACCATTTCTTATTCAAGTGGTGTTTAAATCCAGGGAGCAAAGTTTAGAGACGTCACGTAAGGGGCGCGTTTGCGAGGGTGTACCTCGCCGGCCTGGCCGGCTGGCCACCCTTAGTCCAGTCCAAATGGTGCAAGTGCTCGTGTTTGTCATCGTGGCTCAACAGAGCCGAGCTCGATTGAGATCGTGTTTGTTGTGCTTGTAAAATTGAATGCAATCTGTCAAGGTGAGAGGCAGGAGGTGATCCAAATCGCCCTCAATGACTTGCCCGTCGCTCCATCGGGCCAGGCTCCCAAAAAACGACCGATTTCACCGTTTCCTGAGGGCCATGAGAGAGAGTAGAATTTGCACCGCGTGGGCCAGGCTGAGGGAGGAGAAAACGCCACCAAACACCAGAATGGGCTCCCGGGGGCGCAGCCAGGCCCACGGGCCACCCTTGCAAACACGCCCAAGGTGTCACGTGGGAGTGTTCGGATAGTAATAATAAAACAAATTACAGAAGTCATCAGTAATCCGCGAGACGAATTTATTAAGCCTAATTAATCCGTCATTGCCACATTGTTTACTGTAGCACCACATTGTCAAATTATGGACTAATTGGGTTTAAAAAATTTATCTCATAAATTAGTCGCAATCTGTGCAATTAGTTATTTTTTAGTCTATATTTAATACTCAATGCATGTGTCCAAACATCCGATATGATAGGGAGTAAACTTTATGAAAGAAACTAAACAAGGCCTTAGTTACATTCAACCCATTGTGTAAAATGAATTATATTCAACTATTAGATAAAATGGTCTTAAATAAAATATTGAATGCTGATAGTAGACACTTGATCCTAAACAAAGCACAATTCCAATATTCGAATCTCCTGGTATGTCATTGTCCTTATGTGCCAAGTTTTTTTCCTTCCTGCACAGAAAAGGGAAAAAAATTGCAACGAGATTTAGTGCTGGAATTAGGCAGCAAGAAAGAGTGCAATTGTACAGAGAATTTTCAGGCCTACCCGCTCCAAGATCTTCAATTTGGTTTAGTTCGCCAAAGAATGGACGGTATAACTTTTATTCGAGATTTTCCTGTGACACGGAATTGAATAAGTTGTATGGCTATATGGAAACATAATCTATACCAATATGTAGAAAATGAGAACTATTCCTGCTGCATCGCCTATAAAACAGACATTGCTGAAGCTGTAGAGCTCCTTGTTGATGGGGGATGGCTGCAAGAGCCGACAATTTGGTATTTTCATTGAGGGTGGACTGTAATTTCTATCTTTGATATGCTTCACAACATCTGATTCAAAACCTTCCAGATATCTAATTCTCTATTGGGGCCAAACCCCTAGCTAAATCTGCTAGGCCCTCCTGGAGTCTCTCTCTCCCCTCTTTTTTTCTCCCTTTGTTTCCAAACTTTTCTTACCTTCCATTAGTGAGTTCGAGCGTCCAGCCAGGCAGCCAGCAACAATCAGATGCAGCCAAGCAATTCGAAATTCACAAACTGGGGCAGTTGGAGTGGTTACAAATTCACAATAACTGGGGCAGTTGGAGTGGTTACTGGTTAGTGGATCACACACAATCTCCAAAAACAACGGACAGTCATACAACTCGAAACAAACACAAGCGAGACACCCTCCAGGGATTACTTGCATGACTCACGCAGTAACCAGATAGTACAAGGTACTATAGTACAGTTGGCAAAAAATAAATATGCAAACTTAAAAGAGAAAACAAAAGGTTGAAGGATAAGAAAACACCTGTGGATCCAGACCACAAGTGCTCTTCTTATCCTGCAGAGTCAAAAATCATCCTCAAATAGATAGTGCATGTTCCATGCAATAGTTTCCCGTGTCCAGGAGCCTATGGAATGCCAGCTATGCCGCAAACTCTAGTGATATATAATCTCTGCTTGCCAAAGGTATACATGACGGAAACCTACTCTCCCTCCCAGCCAAATCACATGAAGTCGTACTCGTCCGGATCATCATAGCCACCACCCCGTCCGGGGATGAAGTCATCGTCTCCTTTCTCGATGTGGAGTTGCTTCTTTTTCGCTCCTGCCAAAGAATTCCATTCAGTATCAACACCAGTGATCATGATGGTTACTAGATCTGGCTACAAAACATGAACACCTAGAAGTTCCTTGACAGTTGAAGCTCGTTACCTTGTTTCTTTTTGCCTGCTGCAGCCTCTTTCTCAGCCTTGATCTTCTCGTTAGCAATTGCCGTCACGGAGGAAGATATTTCTTTCGCGTCCGCACCTTTCAGCGATGTCATGGAAAGTCTCATTACATTCTTAAGGAGAGCTATGTAATGAAAGCTTTTCTGCAAATGCAAACATGAAACCAACAAGGTCAGATATATCCTGCCGAAAAAGGGTGCAAAACCCGAGACATGCAGTGTTGACAATGTTATTAACATACCTCATAGGGGCGTAGTTTATTTGCAATAAGCTCCGCGTATTCCGCAAAGTCACTCTCAGACTTCGGTATAAAAGTATCTAGTGACTTTTGTTCACCGCCTTTCTTTGCAAAAAGTTCTGTGGTTGACTTGAAGTCAGCTTCTTCCACAAGCCTGTAGCAAATAAACATTGTAACCATGCAAAAACCAGAGCTTCTTCCACCAGCAGCATCACATGGTTAAATTTGGATGCAAAGTACCAAAAATAACAGGCCATAAAAGCTCCATATACCTTTGTTGGTGAATTTTCTCTGAAGTGGGACTAAGAGGGGGCTCATCTGGTTCTTCAGCACTTGTTGATGCTTGCTGTTTTCCCTTTTTAGCAGGAGCCTTAGTGCTAGGTTTCGCCGTGGCCTTTTCCACAGGCGCTGGCTTTGGTTTCTACAGGATGCAGTAAAACAAAATGACAGACAGCGTTCAATCAGTGACAATTCAATATTATTAACTTATATAAGTGGTTGGCATCCACAAACAATCATGCTACTGATAGTATGATGCTCATTATTTTGCAAATCAACACCAGAAATAATCACAATGGCTTACAATCACTGAATAACATTTCTTTGGATGTTTATTTTTTAATGAGAAACAACATTTTACTGGGAAATTACATTGCATAATTCAAGCTCTTGAGGATAACTGTTTGAGCTATTCAACTACTCATATAATCAGCTAATTGAATGTTAGTATGCAAACAGAATGGTAGTGAACAAGAAATCACACCTACACTGCAAAGATGAAAGCATATAGAACCGAGCATATGCATCAAATATCTCCAAACAATTATTTCCAACAACTAAGCAGTGGAAAAATAATAATTATTGACTAATGTTATCAGCATGCAGGCAATCGTGCTTATAACTGTCGCAACTACATAAAGATAGAATTGTGATGTAAATAAAGAAGAGTGAATTTACTATTGCCTACATTAACAAAGAACCAAAGTTAAATAAAAGGATTTGTGTGATGCATCTATTAACAAATCATATATTTTCATTTACCTCCTCCTCCTCCTCCTCTTCTTCCCATGATTCTTTTACATCATCTTCTTCAACATCTTCATCAGCCCACTGCTTTTTAAGTGGCTCGACTTTCACAACAGGAGCAACTGGCTGGAAATCTTCAGAATCTGAAATGCAGTGTCGATTAGTTTCCATAACACACTAACAATGCGTATGAAAGTGCCATAATAAACCAACATTAGAACACGATACCTAAATTTAATAAACTAACATAATTGCGCAAAGCAACCCTGGGGAGTTTGTCACTGTATACTCGCTTCCTCTAAAAGCAAGGTTGAATAAGGACATTGCAAAATTAATCAGGCATGAAAAGGCGCCTAACACAGCAGTCAGCAGGAGCCTATAAGCGGTAATTACTTTAGATATCATGTTAATCCAATCAGAGCACTTGTCAAAAATACAGGCAAAGACTTTGGGAAAAGGATTACTGATTCACAATGGAGATCACTTTAACTAGCAGGAACAGATGCCAGAATCTTTAGCATTGGACACGGAACATCAAAACAACTGTTATTCCATGACGCTATTCTTAGTTGAAAAGCTAAATTAGACCTATACAAGAGATGCATATGACTAGATATATCCATGTCACTATGTCAGTGCTACACACAAAACATCCCAAACCCATGACCATTCGCCTAAAACGGAACGGATATTACCGCAGCTCACAAACAAATCCTAGAAACCATAATCCCAAAAACTAAGCCCAAGCAACCAGACCTAAACGGCATAAGCCTGACGAAATATCCGTAGTGGGACGGTGCGAGGCGAGGGCCCCATCACGAACGGCGCATCAGAACACCGAACTACTCGCGTCGGGGAAGCACCGGCGCACAGATCGGGGAGTCGAAAGAGAGGGAGAAGGAGGCGCTCACCCCAGTCCTCCATCGTGGCTCCTGATGGTCTCGAGATCCGATCGCTTCGTCGGTGTCGGCGGCAGCGACGGCGGCGGCGGCGGGGCGCCCGGTGCGCGGAAGGCCGGCGGTGGCTAGGGTTTCCGCGGCCCTGGCGGCGGCGGCACGGGAGGGGAGGGCGGAAGCTTCTCGAGGGTTGTGGAACGGGAAGGGGAACCGAACGGATGAGTCGAGCCGAGTCGCGCTCTGCTGTGCTCTGTGCTCTGTGCTCTGTCACGCGGCCTGGTGGAGCCTGGAGCGTTTCCCTTCTGAGAATTCTGATCGCCCATTGGACGGCCACGATCTCCCATGATATAGGCCTTCGCACAACGAACAATTGCCCATTCACTTGTTTGGTTTCAAAGTAAGCAAAGGTCGGTCAGCAACCAATGTTTTTTTCTCTCATAAAAAATCAGCACCAACCAGCTCAAACCAGCACCAGCACCAACCAGCGAACAGGCCCGAAGGCGAGGCGGAAACGAACCCCCTTTTTTTCCCTTCTTTTTAAAATAAAATAAAATTCCGAGACGAAGTCAAAACGGAGCCTATTCTCCTACCGCCAGAGAGAACAAAGCGTGCGTGCACACTTTATTTTGGTCCGCCTCTCCATCCTCAAGGATGACTTCACTTTTTCCCAGTAGCGATTTCCCCGTCGATCCCTCTCTCTCCTCGCCTCTCCTCTCTCTCTCTCTCCTTCCCTCTCGCGATCGATCGATCCCTCGCATCATCGTCCGCCTCTTCCCCTCATGCCGTCCTCCACCTCCACCACACGCCTCCGCTTCACCCCCCCACGCCGCCCTCCTCTCTCTCTCCTCTCTCTCCTTCCTCTCTCACACTCGGATCTTGCTCGGCCTTTCATGGGCCTGGCGCTGCCGCGATGGCCTCACAGCGGACCTCCATGGCGAGAGCACAGCAGCCGAGGGGACACCGTCCGCCCACCCGTCAATTCTAAACCCAAGTCACCCCGCGCTGAAACCTCACTCCCGCTCCCCACCCACACGCCGCCTCCACCACCGCCGCCCACCTGCGTCTGCGGCGCCGCCATTGCCACACCGCCACCCGATGTCCTCCACCCCCAACAAGACGGGCGACGCTCGCCGCCGCCACCTTGGCGTCCCGGCACCTACGCTGGCCGGGCCGCCGCCGCCACCCCACCACCCCGACGCAGCTGTCGTGGCCGTGGCCGTCGAGTCGGTCGATGAGCCCGAGGCGGAGGGCGTGTGGCGCGGGCGCAGTGGGAGGCGGCGTGGCTGTGGCGGCGGGACCAAATCGGTCGTGCTTTCGCGGGTGGAGACGACGCGGTGGGGAGGTCCAGAGCCTCACAGACGATGACTGGAGGAGCTCAAGGGATCGCGTTGACCTAGGCATCGGCTTGTGCGATGAGATCCCGAGCTCGAGAGCACGCTCCGCCGCTCGAAAGCACTCGCTACTCCATGACCCAGCGCCTCAACCGGCCGCCGCCGCCGCCCGCCACCTAGGGCGCCCGAGTGGCGAGATCCGAGTTCCCTCCTCGAGACCCCTTCTCTATCCCCTCATTTGCATCGTCTCTTCTTTCCCTTCCTTCTTCTCTGACTTGATCCGTTGATTCGAGTGTAGGATGTGCCGCCTCGATCTTCTCTGGGTCGATCACGAGCATTGGATGGGAGCGAAGCCGAGGGTAATCGCCCACCACAACACGCCACCCGGCGAGCCCGCGACCACGACAAGGCGTAGCCCATCTCCCTAGCGCAGCGATTCGCCAATTCCTCTCCTAGAAGCGGTGCAAGGTCCTTCCTTTCTCCTTCCCACACTAAAATTCTGAACCGTTTGCTCATTTTTATCCATGCACGTGCTCATTTAGTTGAATCGGTTCTTAGGATGGGGAGAAATTCATTAGATCTCGTGAGATAGATGACCACTAATTTGAGCATGAATGACGAATTGAAGAAGTCGAACTCAACATTAATTCACTTAGCTAGGTGTCGGATACCATAAAAAGGGATACCCTAAGCAAGAACCGAAAAGATCGCTTAAACCTCGCAAATATCAAAGCCAAAGAACAACCACGAGGCCTCGGCCGATTCCCCGATTTGCCCCGCCGAGGCCCACTTGCCGAGGCCTCGGCCGGGTTACCGATTCCCCGATTCGCCCCGCCGAGGCCTCGGCCGGGTTACTGATTCCTCGATTCGCCCTGCCGAGGCCCTCTCGCCTCGGCCGTCCCTCTGGCAGGCTGTCCCATCCATTTAATGCGCTGAATGCACCCGCTCGTCGCCCACGACCGGCGGGGTACAAAGAACAGGAGCGATGGGACAACGATCAAATCTCCTTTTTACCATCCCTTACTGACGGTGCAGGGGTTACCATGCCATGCGGACACACGCCCTGCACTTTTCCACCTAAACCAGGTATGACGCTGACCACCGAGGCCCCCGCATCATACTCAGGTCACCTCCCGGGCCTCGACAAATCAGGTCTCGGCGCGGTCAGCCACAAACACCTGCCAGGCCTCGGCGCGCCACCAAGTCAAAAATTCACAAGGCATGGCATGTCACCTAGAGCGGAGGCCATGCTGACTAAACGTCAACGAGGACTCCTACGACTTCAACAGCCTCGGGCATGGCCGACATGACGCACCAGTGATCAAGTACCGATTGCCATTCCCGACACTGTGCTGCTATAGGAATAGGCCACAGTACTAGATCTTCCTTCCTCGCTAAGGCTCCACGTGTAGCTCTCTCATGTACTCCTGGCTTCCTCCTTGCGGCTATAAAAGGAAGCAACGAGGGCCGTTTCTATGGATCGAGACCACGCCGGCCCTCACGCGCAAACGCACTCACTCAATTCACGCACGCTCCCTCACTGTCTGAGAGCAACGTCTCAAGCAGCCCGCACCACTCCACGCCGAGACCTGGGACTAGCTCCCTCTCTCACCCAGCTTGTAACTCCCTACTACAAGCACTTCGGTGCAAGGAATACAAGATCGACCTCTTAGACTGGACGTAGGGCACCGATTGCCTGAACCAGTGTAAACCTTGTGTCTCTTTGCATCACCATCTGGGATTAGGAGCACGCAGTTCACATTCACTAGTTGGTTGAGGACCCCCCGATCCGAAACACCGACAGTTGGCGCGCCAGGTAGGGGAATACTGCGTGTAAGCTTAATCATCCCAACAAGTCCCGGATGGCAGACCCCATACGACCACTACATCTCGGCACGATAATCTGGTTCGGGAGCCTAGAGTTCATGTCTCTAGGATACGAGTACGACATGGTACTCCTCCCACCTAGAGCCCCGTCAACCGACGGCGACATCACACACCAGTAGCCCAGGCGCGGGCGGCTCCCCCACACCGCTCTCGTCAAGCTTCGCCCGGCGCAACGCAGCAAGCGGGACCACCCGACAACAAGCGCAAGTTCAGGGCGACGATCCGCGCTCCGCCTGTATCCCATGCTCGGCTGTTGGCACAGAGTCCCTGGTTGGGGACCTGTATAGCTTAAGCCTGGGCAAGGGAAAGACGTCGGTGGCGCACAGCGATGCCTCGTCATCAAGCTCTGCCCCACCACCTCCTAAGGAGCCGAGTTCTTTCATCACCCCATTCGACATGTACTGCTATGTGACTATGCCATTCGGTCTCAGAAACGCAGGGGCCACGTACCAGCGGTGCACCACCTAGGTCTTTGGTGAGCACATCGGGCGAACCATCGAGGCCGGCGTGGACAACATCGAGGACAAGTCCAGGAAGGCCAGTGACCTCGTCGATGACTTGGAAGTTGGTGGCCCACCCAAGTACTAAAGCCTGGGACCTACAAGCTAGCCTACGAGAAGGGCGAAATCCTCACCAACACTTGGAACATAGAACATATACGTCGCTTCGACCCTTAAATTCCCAAGCATCATACAATTTTCCTCGAAATACAATAAAGAAGCGTTCTTTAATTGTTCTAAATTTTCGAGGAACCCCCCGAGCCCATCGGTACGGGTTCGGCGTTACGATAACGCTAGGGGGGAGACTTGACTGTCTCTGCAGAACCGAGCCTCCCTCGGGAGCTAGGGGGGACCTCCCCCCAAATCCCAAACTCAGTCACAAACTCTGACAAATCGATTGCAAAAACCTAAGGACCGAAAGTTCGCCTCAAGGCCAAAAGGCCGTCCGAGCATGAGACAGCCCTCGCCTGCAGGCTACGGCAACTCCCTCACCACCTTTCGCCTTGAGGGGCGGCTTAGGCTCAAGGAAGTTTTTGCAAAGGACTTGTCTAAAAACGAGACAGGGGGACACCGTTTTTTAGTCGTCTTTTCGAAATTTTCTCACGCCAAACTCTCTCGCGTGACTCGACAAATCAATTGTAAAAACCTAAGGACCGAAAGTATGCCTCGAGGCCAAAAGGCCGGCCGAGCCACGAGGCCGCCTCGCCTGCAGGCTCACGGCAACTCCTCACCACCTTTCGCCAGAGGGGCTTGGGCTCAGGGAAGTTTTTTGCAAGTGATATGTTCGAAACGGAGCAGAGAGCAAGGGATGGGAAACATAATAGAAAAACGATTAAAAGCATATATATACAGGCATCTTGAAAAGGCCTCGATGGCCACAAACGTTATGGTACAATGATGTACGTCCTAATCTATTACATGACCCCTTTGGCCCAGGTCAGAATACGGGGTCGCCAGCGTCGACGGACGGCGTAGGAGGAGCCACCTCCTCTTCGAACAGCCGGGCCAGCGCCGTGCCAGGGGCCTCAGCCGCCTCCACCAAGCTTCATCACCTCCTCCTCGGCCTTCTCATCGTCCTCTACCACGACGTAAATCGTGTCTGTCGCACAAAAAGCCAGGGGGACTCCTGATCGCCCTCTCGCTTCATGCAGAGGCTCGGGGGCCCTTCCTGCAACCTTGCCGAGACCCAGCGACGCAGGCTCGCACTCGAGGGCTCGGCAAACAACCCCTCCTTCTGAATGAAAAGGATGCGCGAGGGCCGCCAAAAAGCTAGGGGAACTCCTGATCGCCCTCTCGCACCGTGCAGAGGC